AGGTTTTTTTTAACGTTTGATTGAGTCGTTGTTTAAAAAAGTAAAACGCTGCAAATTGCTGGAAAATGGAAAAAATGACGGGCAGATAAAATTTCGTTTAATTTTGTTTTAGATTTTTATTTACATTTCAATATCGCGTATTACCTCTTCTTGCCTTAATTATATCTTGAAGACGCCTAGGCATACTTTCTACCGGTCTGGAAATCTCTCTTTGCTGGAGGTCAGCCCATTCTTCACGAAGAGTCCTTTCATGACCGTAGAATGTATCAGGAAATGATGCTCTTATTCGTCTTTTGAGGTTATATTATAAAAGTTCGATGGGTTTCAAATGTGGAGAATGGCTTGTCCAGGCTAAGACCTTGATGTTATGCTGTTGAAAGTACGTTTGACTATGCGAGCGACATGTGGCGGGCATTGTTGCGCATTAGAATAGGTGATTTCATCGAGGATAGGGAGCGCACGATGTTCCAAAATTTCATCCACGTGGCGAGTGGCCGTCAAAGAACCTCCATGAACAACAACCAACTCTGTGAGAATCTCTATTGAAATTCCCGCTCACACCAACACTGCTACGTTGAAAAGGTTGGCTCTGGGAAAAATTACAGGCTTCGTATATTTCTGTCGCCTTCTTCAGACTCTTTCACCCATCTGGAGATCGTAGAGCAAATCTACGCTCATCTGTAAAACGTACAGCAGGCCAATCGTCCAAAGTCCAATGGCTGTGTTCTCGAGCAAATGCGAGTCGTGCAGCTCTGTGTTCTGGTCAATTCTGGTCCTCTTAATGGGAGAAAAGCCATCGGTCCATACTGATTTAGTAGGCGGATAGCCCGGCCAAAGAAAGCCCTGATACTGCGTTTGTCGGGCCACAACCACTACCATATTACCTCACTCTATGAGCACAGCGGAAGAGAGTATTAAAAACTGGGGTATGAAACAATTCCTTAAGGAGGGGAATCTATCCCCCGGACACAGGCAATCGAAAGAGTTTGTTAAGGTGATCAAACCAGCAGAATCGAAATGGCTATTCTCTAACTCAAGGAAGGGAATTACGAGGCTGATAGGTATCCTGACACCTCTCCGTACCTCGCTGAGAGTGATAGGTATGCTAGGTCTAGATTTGAAATCTTTGAAGGAGAGGACATCACCAAATCACTCCCCGAGATTAAATGGTCCAAAATCATGGGGTTTGTGAATAGGTCCAAGAGGTATATATATATACACTGATTTAGTCTTCTTCCAGCAGTGCGTTCAGAAATTTGAACACCTCGAACTTTCTGGAGCTGATGAACCACTTGAACAAAAGTAAGGTGCCGGCTTCGCAAAATTCTCAAAGTCAAAAAACTGTCTTGTGGTCCTCATACCCTAGGGCGTCCAGAGCCGGCTTCGCAAAATTCTCAAAGTCAAAAAACTGTCTTGTGGTCCTCAACCCTAGGGCGTCCAGAGCCGGCCTTCTATGGCAGGACCCAGTTTATCGAAAACGTCTAACGGCATCTCGCAGTGTTTTGTAAGGATCTGGCAATAGCCGCATATCTGATGGATAATTGCCACATCACCCGCAACATCCTCAGCACTAAGTGGCATTTTTACATTTAAAAATAGAAATTAAGAAAACAAAACAAAAGTAAAAACTAAACAGTTTATTGTTTCAGAATTTAAACGAAACTGAATAAACATTTTAAATTCCGTAAAAAGTAAACATTGAAAAATCCTTTAGCCTTGTTTTGGATTAAGGAATGAGTGATCTTCCCAATTTGAAACGTAGTAGAAGAAGATATTTATTGGTAAAAACAATGAGACAAATTAAGTGCAGAAATTTCTTTTATGAAGAAAATTTAAAAAAAAATCAATTGGGTGCAATATTTTGCCTGTCAGGGTGTAAAACGAAGACCAATATCCCCAAATTATATCAGTAAATGTTCTTAGGTTATATTTAATTGAGACTCGGTTCATAACAGGATCTCCCCATTAGAAACACTTTACGAAAATGTTACAGTTGTGGATCTTTGGTTCGGACTTAAGTCGAAAGAGGTACATTTAGGAAACCAGTGACTCGTATGAATATTCAAGAGGGCTGTTGTGAACGGAGGAGAGGCGGTCTGTCGGTCTACTTTACGCCGTTTGAATACAGAATCCTCGCCAAGGACCGGCGTTACGACCCAGGTCACATCCTAAACAAAGTTATTTCTCCTCGGTTGTCCGCGTTTACAATTACCGCTCTAAAAAGTATTTAAACAAAAAAAATCACGAAATATTATTTTCCGACGTCAAAGGGATATGATTCATGACCGGAGTGAGGTTGTAATAAGTCACCCCTTTCCCACGAGGTGCAGACCACGGTAAACATTGACTTCGGTATCTAAACAGCTACAATTATAGCCGAGTCACCGTCTTAGGTGACGCGGTCACTTTGATTGACGCTACAGTCGGCATCCGACATACCTTTTCATGACGTCTCAACTTCAAAAGCCCCTGACTCTTTTCTGGCTCCGACGGATTTATCTACCATCTACAGATTAATAAAAACGTCAATCAAAAACCAGGCAATTCCACTAATATCATATATTTGAATAAATGTGTGGTGAGTAGTGACCGTTAGTCGATAATTATTCAGAAGAGATGCGGTCTGGTCAACATCACAAAACATATTTTCTTCACCGTGCCATCTTTATTAAGATCATCTCCAGGGCTCAAAGTGTTTGTCTCCTCTCAGAGGGAGCACTCTCAACACGGCACGCAAGAATGGCACAATTACACAGAAGACAAACATTTTGAGCCCTGAAGATGATCTCAATAAAGATCGAAACGTTGGCACGATAAAGAAAATATTTTTCTGAAACCTACATCACACCAGACCGCACCTCACGATTTCTGAATCGTGGATTAGTCAGACAGACTTATAGCGACATAATTATTTTATTTTATATACACTATATGACTAAATGTATTTTTTATATATATTGTGTCAAAAAAAAAAAATAAAAAAAATTTGGGCCATCTTTCGCCCTGGACAAGGCGGAAAACTATCCAACCAAAAGAAAAAGGGGCAAAATAAAAATAATGATCAAAAATAAATTAATTAATTAAAAACAAATAAATAAATTATAAAAAATCGACTTTAAAATAAAATTTAAACAAAACGACCCCCCCCCCAGACAAATATAATAAGCATAGTTTAAGTTTGATTGGTGGAACAATTGATTCTTGTAATTTTTTTAATTGCGACTATAAAAAAAAAGTTTAAATTAAATTCATTTTTTTAAAATAATATTAATAAATTTGAAGTTTCAGACGCATGGATCGGCTGCTGCTCGAGAAATCTCAGGATATATATATATATATAAAATAATAATAAAAATATTTTTTTTTAACATTACTACTAACGACTCATTTCAGATTCTCGAGAGCTGTATATTTTTCAAAAAAAAAAATCACAGGCGAAAGTTCCGGATCCACTTGCAGCCATCCAGTATCCAAACCACAGGCCAACGAAGGACAACCAAGGCTGTTCGAGACGGGGACCGCCATCTACAACCAACCACTGTGGTGCTGTCCAGGAGTGCATCCCACTCGCAGACCACAACTTTGAAGATGGCGAACCTCGGATGCGAAATAATAATAAAAACTTATGTAAATAAAAATAAATTCACGCGTCCCCGAAGAGTTTTGCGCAGCCTGGACGTTTAATTAATACGCGCCAGGTTGCTTTCTCTTCAATACCCCACATGTAACATGTAGTCAAACAGCACTTCTAAATAATATTAAATAGCCCCAACATTGTACAAATAGTCTGCATGCAGAAATCAATCAATAATATCAACAAAAATATTTTGGTCGCATTAGATAGCAGGTAAACTTAATTTAAAGTAAATTAGAAAGCATTTTTTAATTAAAATTTTTTTTAAGGGGTTCGGAACAATAGCAATAATCCTAATGCAATAGCAATATTGAATAAATATTATTTTTGTTAGATTTCTCATCGAGTTCTGAGATTGTTAAACCTGAAGTTTCTTGGGCTGTACAGACTCGCTAGTTCGGTACGTCACATAGTCTGACAGTTTGGTTCCCGATTACTCATCGTCAACAAGACAAGAGGATCTTTAACGTCCGCACCTAGCCTATTCGGCCTTATCGGACGTTTTGATTCTCAAGATGAGAGCTGACGCACTTCTGCATACGACGGAAAAGTGTTACCGCCGCAGCATTGGTGTAGTGTACACAGCTTGTGCTTTAGAGAGGTTGCCACGCCCTCTGGGCTGCACCATTATTTTGTGCCCGGATACCCCCCTTGTAACCAAGGGTTAGGAGGGGTCACAGGATAGAATGAAGGAATTCGGATTGAGAAACAGGGCCGTGGAAGANACGCCTTCCGCTGCCTCTCGTGAGACCCAGAGCGGTCAGATAGCCAACTGGGCGCGGGGCACCCGCCGAAACTACCCGCCGTCATAGGCTCCCTTTCTTCGTAATAGCCCTTCGTGGGTTCGGAAGCCCAGTCGAGCTCTCGCAGGCTCCCGCAGGTGCCTGTTACTACTCAAGGGTTGTTCCTACACCCACTCCGGAACTTGTTAGTCTTCTCCCACACGAGTTCGGTAACTTTAGTGACTATGAGGTTAGTTAATCAGTTCAATCCCCTCGTTGGTTGCCCTTTGGTGAGCGACGGGGACCCTAAAATATAGAGCCAACATAGTCTGACAAGCAAAACGGAAACGACCAAATAAATTTTTAAAAAATCCAGTCATTTATCAGAAGGGTTTAATGTCCAACTACTTGTTATTTGTCGCACAGGGGCCAGGTAAATTTACAATAATTCCTTTTCTACAAAATATTAAAATAAAAATTCCAAAGTAACATACGTTAGCGTGGCAAGTAGGAGAATCACTCTAACTCACGATTAGAAATGGTACATCATAGAAAAAAAATAGATTAGAAACTCTCCTCCTGAAAATCCGAATCGTGGAAAATTCATTCATAATTAAAAGAAAAATGTAACGTTATTTTCTTACTTCGCATAGTCGGCTTTGCAGTAGACGGCGTGGTCTCGGACGAAACAACTCGGCTCTCTGTCCAGTGCCAGTTGGCAGACGGAGCACCGTAGACAGGAGGAGTGCCACGATCTTCCGGATACCTGTAACAAGTACTTGTCCGTAATAGGTTCACAACATCCGGCGCAGATACAGCCGCCCTCCGTCTGAAAAAAAACAACGTAATACAACTTTAACTTCCCATGTATTTGTATTTATTTAGATGCTTCAAACAAAATATTACATATAATAAATAAAAATAAAATATAAATACAAGTATAATTAGTATTATTTTAATAATAATTTATAAAAATGCAAAGGAAGCTTTTTAAAAATTTAACTATGTTCCCTCAACTCAATCATAGAGTTTCTTAAGAATACCAAATCTCCAGGTCGTATCGTATGCTTTTTCCAGGTCGAAGAAGTCAGCTAAAGCATGCTCTCTCAAAGAAAGTGTTCTGAATAGCACTTTCAAGGAGCGCTACATGATCTTCAGAGCAAAAGTGCATTCTAAACCCAGCCTGGTATTGGCTGTACAGACATTTTTTCTCAATAAACCAATTTAACCTATTGTTAATTATGGCTTCCTTTTGCTGAGACATGATGTTAGAGAAATAGGTCTGTAATTTTCTGGGAGGCTAGGATCTTTACCCGGTTCAGCAATGGGTATCACGACCGCCTCCCTCAAGTTTTCAGGATAATATCCCCCAACCCTTAGTTCGTTAAATAACTCCAAAAGCTTGACTTTTCCTTCTGGAGATAGATTTTTAATCATGGAGTATGTGATTTCATCACTTCCCGGAGAAGATTCTTTCACCGAACTCAGAACAAGATCCAGTTCAGCCAGAGTGTTCCAAACTTTTTCTTCATCAGTTGCAAAATTTAAATCGTGTCTTTCTTCCTCCTATTTTATCTGCCTGAAACGCTCCGAATACCTGGGAATTAGAAACAGATTCAAAATGACGAGCTATTGGCTCAGCAATTTGAAACGGTTCTGTTATGACATGTCTTCTGCACGAAGTATTGGCATAATTGGGGGGTTTTCTTTTGCCCGAAATTGGATTCCATACGTGGTGTTAAATTGGATATATTACTTATCGTACAGTTATGAAGCCAACTCTCAGCAAGCAGAGCCTGAGTAGAATTGAAGTTGCGAAGTTTATTTTATATATTTATATTATATTTTATATATTTTATTAGAGAGATATATGTAATATACTCCATGTAATTAATACAATTGAATATACATATATTTAAATGTCAGATTGAATGAAATATATATAGATTAAAGAAGGTCACAAATAAATATGGAAGAAACATGATTTTTATTACAATTAATTAAGGTTTTTAGTTGAGATAAAAAAGTCAATGGCACGAGCGGGATTCGAACCCACGATCTTCGGCTTGATACGCCGCTGCTCTACCACTTGAGCTAGGTAGAGCAGCGCCGTATCAAGCCGAAGATCATGGGTTCGAATCCCGCTCGTGCCATTGACTTTTTATCTCAACTAAAAACCTTAATTAATTGTAATATATTAATTGGTCAAGTGGATCACGAAATTAGTGAATTTAATTATTTTTATTACTTTATGAATCGCATAACACTTGAATTTTACAGATATGCTTCCTCTTCTTTTATCGAGAAACTTCTGGAATTTTTCAACTATATTTTTGATACCGGCCAACTCCCATCCTCATCTAGCAAATCAATTATTTTCCCTTTCTTTAAAAATGGTGACGTAAACGACGTATTCAACTATGGAGGCAGTTAATGTGTAGACACAATAGCTAAAGTAATTTTTTCCATGTTACACCGGCGTTTAGAAAAGTATGTCAAAGAGAATGATCTGTTTAGCGAATTTCAGGCCGGGTTCAGAAAAGGTTATTCTGCAATAGATAACATCTTTGTTTTGTCTAACCTAATACAACTGAAGCTCTCAGAAAAGCGAAGAAAAGTGTATTGATTTTTCATAGACTTAAAGGCAGCTTTTGACTCAGTCAATCATTCATCATTATTCCGAAAGCTCGTATACATTTCGTCTAAGTTTGTCTATACTTAAATGCTTTTATGCCTCGAGAGTTTCAGCGGTTCGGACCTCAGAAGGAATTTCTAAATACTTCAGAATAGGGACTGAAGTAAGACAATGTAAGACAGAGTAAGACAAGGGTGTGTGCTTAGCCCCATGTTGTTTTCCCTTTTTGTGGACGATATTGTTAATCTACTAGAAGGAGGAATTCTTGTTGGTAATGCCAGAATAAAAATATTATTTTATGCGGATGATATGGTCCTAATTGCTGAGAGTCCGGCTAGTTTGCAAAATAATATTCTATCTGGATGGGTATAAAAAGAAACTCCAAGTTTTCCGTGGTTGAAAATTTATTCCAATTTTTTTGAATTATATTGGACGTTCGGGCTCAATGGCCTATCATCAGCACTAAACATAGAGAGATTTTTTATTATTATCAGTTAGAAAGTACATATATCCATGATTTTATTTTTTTTATTTTTATATAAAAGTTTTATTGGCATAGTCCAGGTATATAAAACTTATATTAAAAAAATTCAAATCATGGATATATGTACTTTCTAACTGATAATAATAAAAAATCTCTCTATGTTTAGTACTGATGATGGGCCATTGAGCCCGAACGCCAATATAATTTTAAAAAATTGGAATAAATTTTCAACCACGGAAAACTTGGAGTTTCTTTTTATACCCATCCAGATAGCTGAGACGGACCGTGGATTCAATATAAATAAAGTAAAATAATATTCAAATTTTTGAGTCCTTTTGTGATCTTTGGAACTTATCTGAAAATTTAAAAAAGTCAAAAATGATGATCTTCCGCAATGGGGGTAAACAGACAGCCTCTGAAAAATTTTATAAGGGTAACATAATCCAAGTGGTGAATAGGTACAAATTCCTGGGTGTTATTTTTACTCCGCTTCTTTTTACCATTTTGAAGCAAGAATTTCGGTTACAAAAACATGTTTAAACTGTGTCTGGGTAAATCTCTTTCGCAACAAGCTTGTACCGTATGAAACCAAACTAAAAGTTTATAACAGTGTCCTGCGAACAGTGGTAAGTTACGGCGCTCAAGTATGGTGTTTCCAGTCCTACGAGGTTGTAGAAAAATTTCAACGTTTTTTGTTAAAAAACTTTTCAGCTTACCATCTTTCTTACCAAATTACATGTTAACGCTAGAATGGTTAGGCCCCCTTGCGCAGTGGCAATATCGTAATCAATGAAGTTCTACTGAGATGCGATTATTGCTAGTTGAAAACTGAGATGTTAACGCTAGAATCCTGTTTGCCTCCTCTATTCTCGTATGCCTTTTCCCTCCACCTAAAAGTCAAAGATACTGAGCCTCCCAGATGATCGACTGCCTAAAATAATCGCTCTACAGATAACTAGAAAGTTTATCTCCTGGTATAACAATGGGCTTCTCTAGCCCAGAAATACTTATGCCCCTGGCAAAACTCCGGTGTTCGGGAGAATCTCTCGGTCCTTTTAGTGCTTCTTTACAAAATAAACGAAGTTCATCGAGAAGCTGTGAATCAGGCGAAAAGCACAGAGAGGTTCAACTTGTATAAGGAACTTTTCAATAAACACATACTGTCATATAAACTGAGCCTTTCCCAGGACCTTAATTAGAGATTCTTGTTGGCTATTCAAACTAAGAATATCTCCTGGTAAATTCAAATCTCTTTTGAGTCTGCTCTCTTCTCTCAGAATTGCGGGTACCTTACTTGGGAAAGAGTCATCTCCAGAGTCGAAATACTGGAATATCTTTCTAACCAAGTATCATCCCCTTTACCGCTAATTTCCTTTGCTCGGCACGCCTGGAGAGTGAGATACGAGTGGCTTTCAGATATGCAATAATTGTCGTCCCTGAACATATAATTTTATTTTTACTGCTTTGTTTTTTAGTACTCTATCAGTTCCCAAGAGGTAATTTGTTCTTATTTAATTCTTTTTGTTTTCTTCTTTTTTCTTATATGTCCATCTATTTTAATTCATACACCTGCTATATGTCAATTTTCTCTTTCAATTTCTTTTGTTTTAGTATTTCTGTATTTGTAAGCTTTATTATGCAGTAAACTCAGCAGACGTCTACTAGCCATGTTTATTATACTTTGTATCATTTTTTTTTTATCAATTCTAATAAAGTATTGTTTATTGTATTGGTTGAGAAAAAAAAGTCAGGCGGGATTCGAACCCACGGCCTTCGGCTAAATACGCCGTTGTTTTTCTAACCACTTGAGCTATCGAGCCTGCGATCCACTCGGGCTTCCCATCTCAACCCACCAATTGAAAAATGGCAAAAAGAGGGAAAATTCGAAAGGTTGTAGGTTAAGATGAGTTGGTGTATTGTTTTGCGAATTTCATTAACTTAGATCGTTTAATTAATTATAATATTTTTGTTTAGATCTTAATTCTCCTTCGATGCTGTCAGATAGTTATACAGGGTGTCTCGTAGACAGACGTCGATACTTCAGGTCATCTTAGATATCAAATCCTATTAAAATCCTTATTGTCCAAAGTTTTGAATTTCACTTTTTCGCGTTACTTCAACCTTTCAAAACTTGCTAATTTTAAACTTATGTTGAGGTGAGCGGCCCTAGAAGAAAAGTCCAAATGCTTCGTTCAAAACATTTATTGACACGTTTCGGACGTCTCACGTCCTTCATCAGGTACATAAGCATTGTTTTTTTGTTTCAGTAACACCCTTTCCTGCGTCCCAGACCAACAGCAATTTATTGTTGATTGTCTTTGTTTGTCGTTGATTTATTTATTGTCAACAATAAATTGCTGTTGGTCTGGGACGCCGGAAAAGGTGTTACTGACAAAAAAAACAATGATTATGTACCTGATGAAGGACGTGAGACGTCCGAAACGTTGTCAATAAATGTTTTGAACGAAGCATTTGGACTTTTCTTCTGGGGCCGCTCACCTCAATATAAGTTTAAAATTAACAAATGATTATCCAACGGCCGACTAAAACAAGGACATGACTTTCAAAACTTCATTCTATAAAGTTTCTCGTATCTCTTTCTGTTGTCTTTTTGCTTAGATTTAATAGGTTAATCGATACACTGAATAATTAAGATCAACTACATGTTTACTCCAAAGGGATGAAAAAATCAAATTCAATTATTCGACCTATTTTAAGGTCATCAAGACAAAAGAATCTTAAAGTTGCCTATAAATTGACATAAGCATTTTTCAAATTCAGTCTTGGGCAATAGTGGGACAAAGTGTTCAAAGTAATTTCTAACCAACTATTAAAAATTTACGCCGATTTGTAAATCTTTTAAGATTGTTTTGCCCTGATGATGACCTTTAAACAGGTCGAAACTTGACAGTAACATTTTGTTTCTTTATCCACACTATACCAAGATCCAGATCATTTGAGCTAAGAACTGGTCGAAACTTCTAACATTTTAAACTTGGTTTTATATCACATTTAACGATATTGTTTACTGAGGATGAAAGACAGTTATCAATTTAGCAAATCATTCTTGAAAAACTAAATGACGACATTTAACAAAAATGGTCAGCAACCTCGCAGAATTCAAATTCCAGATCTATAAAAAAATACCTGCGAGTTTAATAGAAAAACAAAAATTTAAGTCCATATCTGTGAAGTGGGGCTAAATAGACTCGATGAAGTATGAATAAAACATGTTTTTTTCTAGATTCTTTTGAGTATGATTTTATTCAATGTGCTGAAAACTTGTAAGTCTTTTTGATGTAAATTGTTACACTGCTTTAACAGTTAATGCCCTCGGTGTTTTCTAAGTACAATCAATGTGTTTATACATAAATCGATGTTTTTATACACTGCCTTAGACTGACAACGGGTCGGAGAATACAAATTGCCTGGATAAATAATGTCGGATCACATCTGGACAGTGTCCAAGACGTTGAGGAACAGCTCTACCGGTTTTCACCCGTTTTATTAGTATTATTTACGCCACGGAAGATAAACGGAGGAATTAATAAATGGATCTACTAAAGAGTCCGATGTATTTCCCGTCAGTTTGAATTTGCAATTCCAACTCAAGACCGACGTTTTTTTACGAATCGGGCATACCGGGGATACTCGCACCGGTTCACTTGAACCTTATGCCGGCCATATTGTACATCGAGGACATGGAGGGGAAACGCGAACGAACCAATGACTAAACACCGTTTTGAGAAATAAAAACTGTTTTGTCCCTATTGTCACTGTCATTGTTGACATCCTGGAAGGGTGAGAACAAAAGTTTGACGCAATGATCCCCCCCTTCTTGAGATCGGGTAGTAAAACAACTATTTCGTGTTACCATCTTTTTTCCCTGTCGACATCCACCATCTGCCTTCGAATCGAAGATTTTCATGGGATAAATTTGTCGGTAAAACAAAAGTTAACCCGAGAATGGCAGATAAACATAAGAAACTAGAACCTAAATCCTTACGTCATAAGAATCCGACGAAATATTTGATTAAAAAAAAAAACAGTAGATATATAGTATTTATGGTCTAATGCTATCTTGAGTAGGAAAACTTTAACAATTTTGCTAAACGTTTAGCGGGAAATCCCATGAATTTAGATTCGCGCCAAATAAATCAGTGTTGCCAATACACTGGCAGAACCAACACTGCGCCCGCCCTAAACTCATAGGATTACCTACTAACTTTATTTTTTTTTAAATTGCTAATCCTGGCATTCCTCAGAAGCAACTGACCTGGTGATTGGGTGTCAATACTCAATATGACATCTCGCTACACCATACTCATAAATTTTAAAAATCCATAATATGTAAACGTAGAGCGTGATAAAATTCTCGTCTTTTTCGCCTGTTTTAAAATTCAGAATAAACTGTCTGAAAGGAATGAAGTTTATGCATTTAAAAGTCGGCAAGTTCACTAGGACGAAACGCCATTCCCAGGGTTGAGGAACTTTGGCGCACCATTCCTTCCTTATTTTATGTACTGGCAATAAACCAATAAATAAACAAGAGATTTTGGTCTAAAATAGACGTCCTTTCTCATTACAAATCCAAAATTAATCTTTATTCTTTTTTAAAATTATAATTTTTAGTTTTAAAATGTAACTTTAATTATTCAGAAATCGTGAGATGCGGTCTGGTGTGATGTAGGTTTCAGAAAAACATTTTCTTTATCGTGCCAACGTTTCGATCTTTATTGAGATCATCTTCAGGGCCTGGGATTTACAAACATTGTTTACATTTAACAAATACATTTAGGATGTGGAAAAGTGAATTTATACAACGCAAAATGCAAGGCCCTGAAGATGATCTCAATAAATATCGAAACGTTGGCACGATAAAGAAAATATTTTTCTGAAACCTACATCACACCAGACCGCATCTCACGTTTTTTGAATAATTACCGATTAACGGTCACTAATCACCACACATGTAACATTAATGTTATATATTTTATTGTTAAAACATAAAACGTTCACCGGGATTTACTACATCTTTACAACCTTAAACAAAATTGTGAAAGTTGACATTTCTCTAAAGCGACTTTGCGCAGGAAAGGGTTAAATTATAAACTGTATATGAAAAATTTTATGTTTGGCAAATATAACAATCGATACCAAGTGCAGTTGTTGGAGATAGAAGAGTCCAAAATGGATAATTTAGATTGGCGCCAAATAAATCAATGTTGCCAATAAACGGGCAGAAATAGCGCAGGAACAACACTGTGCCCGCACTATACTCATGGGATTTTCTGCAAAATTTAAAGAAATTGCTAAAGCTAGCATTGCCCTGAATCAACTTTGGAAAAGAAAGAGTTAAATAAACTATACATAAAATATATATATATATATATACAGGGTGAATTGCTACTCGTGCTACAAACTTCTCCAGTAGATTCTTCACCCTAAAATGAACAAAAAAGTTCATATTGTCCATGGTCCGATTCTCAACCATTTCAGAGTAATTTCGCTTTTTATCGATTTTGAAAGATATCACGTCCTGGCGTCGGAAAATCGTGATATCTTTTAATCTAAACATTTCTCTTAAAATCTATAAGCACCGTTGAAATCCCCGTTAATTTTTAGAGAGAATCAAAATCATAATTCCATTGAAATTTTTTAATTTAATTTAATGCCCATTTAGTATGTAATGCTTAAGAAGTTTACAAACAGCTAGAAGGTCAAGGAAGAAAGACCCAAACGTTTTGCCACCTTCATCTTCTTATTGAAAAATTAACGGGGATTTCAACGGTGCTTATAGATTTTAAGAGAAATGTTTAGATTAAAAGATATCACGATTTTCCGACGCCAGGACGTGATATCTTTCAAAATCGATAAAAAGCGAAATTACTCTGAAAT